TCCGAGCCCAGCCCGCCCTTTCCCGACCGCCTCGGCCCCGCTCGCGCCCCACCCTGCCCGGCTCGCCCCAGCCTCCTCACCGGCTTCTGGGCAGCGCCGGACAACACGCGGGAGACGGCGGCAAGCATCTTCCTCATAGGGCGCAGGCAGTGGCGGAGATGGTGACTCCAAAGGACCCAAGAACAGCTAGGCCGCCCCTGAATCTCCTTCAGGCGCCCTGAGCCGAAGCCACGCCTTAAACGCTGCTGACGGAGTCGGAAAAACGTCAAGCGCCGAGGTCAGCGGGCCAATCAAAACTGCGCCTGGGGTTTTTCCCCGCCCACCTGGGGGGCAATGCCTGCGGGGTGGGGCATTGAGTGTAAGTGCCAGAGAGGGCGGGGCTGCGCGCTCCATAGGCGATCACGCGCGGGCTGGTGCGGAGGCAGCAACTGGAGATGCTTGCCTGGGAAAGTGGGGCCCCGGAGGCGGGGGCCTCCTGGCGCTCTGCCTCGAGAGCTGGCTGAGGAGCGATCCAGGCCAGCTGCAGTTCCCCCAGTCCCACCGCTGGCGCATCATTATAGCCTTGGCTCAGTACGCAAAACGGTGAAGATTCGCCACGTGGTCGGGGCCAAAAGACACACATCTGGTTTGTATACATGCTTCTGCCGCTAAACTTGCCTTTAGAAGATCACGGAACAGTTGTAAAATGCTGCCTAGTCTGCTTAAGTGAGGATCAAAAAAATCAATTCTCCAACTAAATGCTGAGTTGACCGTATAGGAACAAGTGCTTATTGTTCTTTGAGTTTTTCTTAGCTTTTGCTTCCTCTGGCTGTAGACAAGAACAGGTGAGAGCTGAGTTGTTCTCTGCTTATATACTACTTGGAAAAAGCAGAATACTGTATTACATCTTCTGTGTGACATCGTTCCTCAAATGCTGTAAAGTTTTAAGACCCGATAAGGTGGACGAGGATGCTGTGATACAGTAACAAATTAACCTCCAGTTGCCAGTGGGTTTGCACAACAGACGTTGCTTTTCTACTCTGGTTATGTGTCCAATATACATTGGCCAGGGTCTCTCCATGATGTCACGCAGGAACCCAGGGTAGAAGGTGTGCTAATACTTCAATATGTGACCTTCATAGTCAGTGCAACAGAGGAGGAGGAGAGAGTGCAAAAAGGGCTCCCAATGGCTGTCCTATGCTTTGGCCGAGCTGTCCCATACCCCTAGTGCAGCAAAAACGACATCTTGGTAAAATTACTCTGTCATCCAGGGAACCATGCCCTCTCCAACAGGACCCATCTCTTAGTCCTAGGGCACCCTTCTTTTGGGGTTTGTATCTCAGCCCAAGGGGCAATGTCTGCTTCTGAGATCTTCCATTCCTATTTCCTTCAGAGCTCTCTATCTATTCTTTCTGTCTTCTCCAGCACTGTATTCCTTGAAGGATAAAATAAATGCTGCTAGGAGTAGATTATAACCCATAGATTAAAATAAATAGGGCCAAATCCTTTGCAAATACATAATTGAATAAATACATGGGGAAGAAGGAACTTTTCCTAATAATAGAATTTGAATTAATTAACATACAAGGAATGCTGACAGTGGAAAAGTTACCCATTGTAGAGCCCTGTGTGGTGGTGCATGCCTGTAATCCCAGCACTCAGGAGGCTGAGGCAGGAAGCAGATGGGTTCAGGGCCAGCATAGGCTACATAGCAAGTTCCAGGCTAGCCTGGATTACATAGCAAGACCCCTGTTTTGAAAGAAAGAAAGAAAGAAAGAAAGAAAGAAAGAAAGAAAGAAAAGAAAGAAAGAAAAAAGGAAAGAGAGATCACCATTTGGCAAAACTAGTCACTGTTTTCTGCTTTTTTAAAAAAAATTAGTATATATTTGCAATACATAATAGATAAATTCATCCCAGGGAGTTGGTACACCTACATATGGAAACTTGATCATTCTTACTTCCCCTTCTCCTCCCTTCCCTCTCATCTCTCCCCATTCCCAAATCCCCTTCCCCATGTCCACCAAGTCTACCTCCATGTTTCCTATTTTGCCTTTTATTTTGCTCTTTAAATTATACTTTAGATTTCTCATATAAGAGAAACCGTATCATATTTAACCTTATGTCAGATTTATTTCACTTAGTATTATGGTTTCAAAGTGCACCCATTTTCCTACAAATGATGCAAATTTATCCTTCCCACAGTCACTGTTGCATGCAAGGATTATCCAGAGAGGCTAAAATTAATGGGTTAGATATTATGAGAAACAAGATATTTGCATAAGCTCATCTCCCTACAAAATATTTATTTATTGCAAAATTTACCATAGTAACTTTGTAGTGAGGAAACAAGTGAATACATTTTATAATGGCTAGGCAATTTTCTTTGTCATCTTTGGCAGAAGTTTCCTAGCCAGAGGCAGAATTAACCTTGAAAGTGAGGAACACTTCAGGATGTTGTATGAGGTGGTGGCGGTATAATTGTGGTTAGTAGTCATTACCTGTGGACTACAGTGATATCATATGTGCTAGAACATTCACCAAGGACTCTTACATCTGGAGGGGAGACCAGGGAGATGAAGAAAGAATTGTACAAGGCAGGGACCTGATGAAGAGAAAATATTAAGAGAGGAGGACTTTTCTTGGGTGGAATTGGGGACAAGGGGCTCTACCTTCTCCTCCACCCCTCTCACATGCCCCCAGCACTCACCAGTTTACGATGAGATTTGCTGGGTCACACAGGGGCACTTAGATCTGAGATCTTGAAACCTGCCTTTTGACTTTTACTTTGCAAATCACCCTAAAAGTACTCAATCAAGTGGAACTTTAAGGCAAATCATGCTCCTTAACATCTTTGGTTTTCTTGGTGGGACCCTCCCCAGGATGAATTAACAGAACAATCATATACATATGTTATAAGAGTCAGCAGATATTTGTGCTAGGCAACTAGGGCTTTTTAAAAAAAACTTTGGAACCATATACATGTTTTGCATAACCACAACACACAACATAACACCATAGGAACATGGCTATGCCTCCTCCTCAGGACCAATTAAACTGCCAAAAAATCTTAAATGATTTTCAATTATCAGTGTTTCTAATATTACTATTATTATTAGTTTAGTGTTGAGGATTGAACCGAGGACCACTCCAATCCTATCAGTGTATTATTATGTGAGACTACATACATACATGCACGTGCACACACACGAAATGAATATGTAATTAATGTCAGTGTCATTAAGAAACAGGATTTTGGGCATAAAAGAAAACAGACGCCAATACAAACTCCAAAGCCTTGTCCTGAATTTAAATTGAAAATACCAGTACAAATTCCCAAGTATTTCCATACGTAGTTCCTAACTCTCTGCTGGAAAGATCTAGAAGCAAAGACCAGTCTAATAGTAATCATTCTGACCACTGATAAAAGAATTGAAGATTTACCCTATCTTTCCCATACAGACTAAATTTCAAGGTGAATGATAGTCGATTTGTGGAAACTGTCCTTTATCATTTACAGTTTCCACTAATAAATAAAAAAGGAATCACAGAATTTTCATACTCTTGCTTTAAAACACCTAAGTAGATCATAGGTCCAACTGTTGAGGGACTTATTGGGTCATATCGAGAATATGGGACTCAACCAGCAGGTTCTGCCTTCTGATCTGGTAGGAGACAAAACGAGCTCTCCTCCTGTGAAATGTTCTTCCACCCAACTCAAACAGGAACTTGATCAAGCCTTTCCGTTTCCTACCAGCTTACAAGGAAGCAACCTTTACCGTAGAAAATGGAGGAAACATTACAGGACAGATTACCTAGTGTCTTTAATAAAGTCCAATGTTAAACAAAGAGGAAAGGGGACTGTTGTATGTTAAAATAGACTTATAAACCAAATACAATGAGTATATCTTGGTTGGATCTTGGCTAAAACAAAACCAATGTAAAAAAAGACATCAGTGAGATAATTTGGGAAATTTAAACATGAACTGGATATTTGATGGTGTTAAAGAACTTTTCAGGTGTGCAAAGATACTAACTTAGTTTTAAAGGGTCCTACTTTTCTATAGATCCATACTTTGATTGTTACTTGTGATGTGTCAACTTGACTTGAATGAAAACCACCTAGCAGGTCAGTAAAGCTTTGGTGTGTCTGTGGGTGATTGACATGTTGGCCACAAACTGAGGAGGGAAGACCCAGCCCCAATATGGGTGGCATCAATCACTAGGCTTGGAGTCTAGACAAAATAAAAATGGAAAGAGAAGGAAGTCTTCCCCTTTTTCCTTCAGAGTAGCTCCAGCCTTTACCAATTCCTTTTGACGTTGGGCTCCAGTTCCCTCAGGCTTCCAACACAGACTTTTCAGCTTTCCAAGAAGACTCTGGTTTTCTGACACAGACTCACACCAGTGACTGCAGTGAGCTTCTGGACCATTGACATTTCACTGCTACCCGGTCCTCTGGTTCTACCACTGTGCAGAAGGCCATTTAGTATTCTTCTGTCACTGGTTTGCAGACAACTCTTGGGACTCTTCCTGTTTTTGTGGGGCTTTTTTTTCTTTTTTTAAAGATGGTGTCATGCTGTGTAGTTCAGGCTGACTCTGAACTCACTGTGTAGCCCAGGCTCACCTCTAACTTGCAGCAATCCTCCCGCCTCAGCCTCCTGAGTGCTGCAACAGCACACTACAGGTGTGCACCAGCATGTCTGGCTTGGGACTCTTCCAGTTTTGAATCTGTAAGCCTATGTAACCAAATCCTTATATATACATATATATATGTATATATGTATATTTCCTTTAGTGAGCTTCAACTAATATATACATTGAAGGGTTTTCTTTCCTTTCTTTCTTGGAGTTCTGGGGATGGACTCCAGGGCCTCACACTTGCAGAGCAAGCACTCTACAACTAAGCCACAAGCCCAGCCCTGACATACTTGTTTTTATGGTAGAGGTGATATGATGTCTGGGAGTTGTTTTAAAATAACCCAGAATGGGGTGGCATCATTGGGGGTGATTTGTAGGATTCATGTGGAAGCAATAAGATGGGCCATGATTTGGTCATTGTTACAACTGAGTGATGCCGAAGTAGGGGTTCATTGTACTCTTCCATGTTGTATATATTAAAATTTTTCATTACAAAAGGATCAGTGCAGATGCCAGGCTATCAGTGATTAAACAGTCAATATTAAAGCATTATCTTTAGTTGATTTAAGAAAATACACATTCCCAGTTTTGGGCATTTGGTATATAGTGCACAGTGAAGCTACTGAAGGAGTTGTTTACATCAAGTGATCCCAAACATTTATTAATGTTCAGTCACTCATTGCAAGATACATATCAAACACTTTCTATGAACCAGGATCTAGAGGATTAATAGGCAGTGCACCAATAGATACAGTTGTCATGTTGTTGTGCAGCTTGCATTCTGGTGGGTTGGTGGAGGTGGTAGCAGTTATGTAGAAAAAAAAGAAATTAAGTATATACATGCAATTAGCATATTTTAATTGTGTGGAAGGTCAGGGGCTTGGGGTGATCTGGAAAAGCTGAGGGTCTCAGTCTATGCTAGGTAATTTAGAAACAAGAAACATTTATTTTTCACAGTTCTGGAGGACAGGAAGTCCAAGGCCAAGATGCCAGCACAGGGTGTCTGGCAAA